GGTGTCCACGGGCTGGGATGCTGATAAACCTGGAGAGAGGCAGAGATCATTTTAACATGTCTCTCTCACTGGGAGGGACCAGTAGCAACTTCTCACCCTCTGGCTGCTCATTGACCAGTGAGGTGGTGGGACCCACCACTGAGCCTTTCTTGCGCCGTGTGTCAGAAGCTCACAGCCTGACCAGCGATGGAGGCACGGTGCTGTCTCTTCCCCTGCTGCCAGGCAAGGTCACTTCATGAAAAGATGGGCCGTGCAGTCCAGATGGGAGGCAGCATTGCTGTTATTTCTGTTGGATATGCCTTTGTTGGCAAGTTTTTATTTACTTCAAGCTTACACCTGAGAGCCTGTGTTATTTCCTGAGGTGTTAAGAGGGACACATTGTAGAAGGAGCACTTAGAGTCTGAGGAGACCTGTCTTGCTACCATTCTCGGTATGGATTTCCCGTAGACACGTTACCTCACCTGTCCTGTGCCTCTGTTCTGTGTGTATAACATGGGAATTGTGTTTCCTTTTCTCACTAGCTGCTTGTTGGAGACAGCGAGGTTCTCAAAAGCTTTGTGGGTTGTGTATCTAGCTGGCAGCTACATGACAATTTCCAGCTTGTTTAGAATATCTGTAACTGTTTGATGAGAAAGGTTTATCTACATGCTGGTGGTTTTTTCTCTTCAAATTTAAACTTTTTTTTTTCTTTTTTTTTTTTCAGAGAAAACCAAGAGAAAATGATTTATTTTCTTCTGCTTGACCGGAAGGAGAGGTATCCTAGTCATGAAGATGAGGATCTTCCCCCTAGAAATGAAATAGGTACTACAGATATGACCTTTGTCACCATGAACCCATCTTAACTGGTTCCTCTTCACCATTTTGTGATTTTATTGTGGTTTTGTTTGGTTTTTTTTTTCAATATATACCCAAACCCAGCATCACTGTTACCTTCCCACTGAAACAGTGTACAGCATTGGTGAGAATCCTCAGCCTGAGGCAGGCAGGCAGGTCTGTTCTCTGGTGAATCTCAAAGGCTCCTTATTTCAGGACGTGTCTGTTGCACAGTGCAGAAACATCCCAGATGATCTTGAACCAGATCTTAAAAAATATCATGTGAACCCCCAAGCTGGCTCTGTGCAAGCAGATGAGGTTTAGAAGCAGTGTAGTCTAGTGGCAGAATTTTCTAACCCCATGAAGTGACAGAGGGACACTTTCTCTTTTCTGTGGGTAAATATATACACTGTTGAAAGTATGAAAAACTTACCTGTTTATAGTACATACCTCAACCACAGATGTTTTTAGACTATCTTAGAAAGATTTTAAAAGCTTAATATGCATTAAGATTATATATCTTATAAAGCTCTTGTGCTACTTTATTCCTGAAGAATTGTTCAATGGTATTTTAGGGTACTGCTGATCACCAAGGGCTAAACTGAACTAGACAGCAGGGAAAATACTTCCCTAAGGAGGGAACAACGTAAGTGACTCTTGCTGTGCAGAGTGACAAAGGTTGAACTGATAAAGGATTAGTCACTTCTATCAATGACCTGAAATAGCATTTTTACACAGGAGTGTTGTGATTTTCAGGTATTGTATTTCAGCACTTTGAAAGCTAGAAGCAAAGGGCTCTTTATTTTCACTGGAAAGCCTGGAATCTCCCGTGCCTATGGGGCAGCAGTAAATTGAACTGTAAGTTTGTTAACTCTTTGTTGAATTATTACCTTATCGAAGTTCCAGGCTCCAGGCCCCATAATTTGCTGGGAAATCTCTTTTATGGGAAAAGAGATGGAAATTCTTAGTTAACACAGCAATTTTTAAACTCTTACCTGGATGGAGCTACAGAGAGCATGTTAGCAGGGATCTTGATGAAGATGGGTAGATGTACCAGCTACAGGTCCTGTGGTCAAAAGCCCCTTGCTCAGTGTAGTTTGTCATCTAGCACTTTACTAATCAGCTTTTGGCTCAGACAGATTATCCTGCAATGTAAGGACACCATCATCTTGTTTTAGAAATGCTTTTGTCAGAAGAAAAGAAGCAAGGTGACTCTGGAATCTTCATATCCAGCATGTAAATGTGAATGCATAGTTATGCCCTAAATACGTCATAGATCTCTCTTCCACATGCCAAACTCTTTTCATGGTTTGAACTGAAATATTATGCTCCACTCTTGAATTTTTTTGTCCAAGGAGTGAAAATGTTCCTCAACAGGGAAACACTACTCTGAATGTATCATTGTGCCTCACTGGTACATTTTAGACTCTTTGAGCATTGTTCTTTGAGTGTTTGTAGGTTGTATTTCCTCTTCCACAGAGGGTTTCCCACCTCCTCTGTTCCCAGCAGTATCTCTGAGAACATGGGGCAAGGTTTAATTAAGAGCAATCATGCTTCTGATGAATATCTCATCATTAGCCATTAGCAATGGCCTTGCACAAACAGAGGAGAGCAGGGAAAAAGTAGCAGGATTAATAATAGCAGCTTGAAGAAACCACATTCATGAGAGTTGTGCATTGCCTGAGCTCTTGCCAAAAAAAAAGAAAAAGTGTATCTCAGAGTATTTTGCTTTTTCTTTGCATGTCAGGTCTCAGAAGGGATGGATGCAAATAAAAATATGGCTAACTCAGACTAACACTCTTTTCTGGCGTCCTTATTGTGGCCCTTCAAAGGGCCAAGGAAGGGCCACCTTCATGATCTTTCGAGTCCAGCTCCATTTTCCTTACTTGAAAACATAGAAATGAGAAATGTCTCAGTAAAATGAATTAATGTCAACTAATGTCTCCTTGAGGAAAAGGCTTTTGTGGGGTGGAGTTTCTTAATAAACCAGAGAACAAGAGATTGGGTCAGAATAGCTGTACAGGATATAGGTGCCTCATCCAAACTCAGAAGCTGAACCTTTATTTACCACCTTCCAGATGGATGCCTTTGTAACTGGATCATTACCTACACAATTCTCTGTTCCACCGTAAAAATCCTCAGGAATGGCTTCATTTTTCTGATGTGAAATAAAAGGAAAATGCATCCTCAAAGCTATCACAGATCCAGACTAGGACTTGATTATTTCTTTTTTGCCATGTGAAATATTTCCAGAGAGTCAAGAAGAGAAGGGCAAACACTGGAGATTTTCCTGTTTTTAATTCCTCTGCTTCTGAAAAATCTTCTGGTGCTTTTATATGACACCCCTTAAGTCTTTCTGGCAGGATGGCTCTGTATTTAACTATTTCTTTAGCATATCTAGACTTCAGATACCCTTATTAGAAGCTCAACCACATTCATGCAAGCTTCTGGATGTATTTTCCATCTAACTTGTGTGAATTGCTGTCGTTGAATTTATAGGTGTGTTTCACCACTTGCTCTTTTTGCTTAGTCTCTGTCTTTGGTAGTTTAAAATATAGATTGGAAATCAATATCTTCCATCATCCTGAGCAGCAAGGACTGATAGAAAAGAACCATTTAGCTTGTTAGTGAAACCCTTCTCCTCCTCACTTGTTCTGTTGATTCCCTCATGGTCCCTCTGGCTACTGTCCTTCTCTCAAGCTTTCAGAACACTGTTATTCAAGACTTTAGCTAATTCCTCTTCAAATTCCTTCTTCCCTGTCTTTTAATGTCCACCTTATATTTAACCTGTCCCTTTTGTAAGTGTCACTCAGCCAAGTTTCCATTTGCTAAAGTCTCCTCCTGTTTTCAATGTGCTTGGATCAAATTGCCTTTTAAAATACCTGTTTATAAAATGTTTTCCTTGCCTCTTTCCATCTTTCTTGTTTAAACTCTATTATTAACTAGCATTGATGCAGTCTGAGCTTACTCATCTCTATCCTCTCCATCCTTTTGACGTTAGCCCTTTTCTTCATCTTCCTTCTTCTTTTCCCTTTCTTTAAACTGCACTCTTCCACCTTCCTCTCTAATGCCTGATAGCACCCTGCAAAGCTTTTAGCAACTGTTGTTGATACCGAACGTAATTACATTGTCGCTGTGACTTGGCTCTGGTCACACTTCTGATACCAGGAGTTGTCCTGCGGGATGAATCCTTTCTCATTCTTTGAACTTGGTTGAAGAAGCAGGAGTTTGAAATGTCTAAACCTTGTCCCAGCTTACTTTTGACCACTTACACACGTGCAGCTGAAGTCACCCAGTATAACTGCTCTGTTAGGTTTATCTCCCTTTCTTTTTCCCTCAATTTCATGCCCTAAATATTTTTCCTAATCCCCTACTAGTATTTTCTGCTACCTTTTATTACATAGTTTGAAATGGAGCAAGATACAACTGCTTTTTCCTAATTAATTATTAACAGGACCATTATTACTATTAATACAAAAATACTTGTGTTATACAGTAATGGGGTCAGTTGTTATCACGAGCCCATTTGCATTTGAGCTGCCTTTGTTCATGCACATTGTTTCAAGAATAATCCCTGCCTTAAAAGGATCTTGTTCTAAAAAACATGATGTGAGAGAGAGAAGAGACAAGCAGTGGGGGGTGTGACGAGGGCAGGGTAATAAAAATAATACCATCAGCCTAGGCACTAGTGGTAGAATTGTCAAATGCAATATTTCTGGTTTTCCAAAGGAATCCTGGCAGAGGAGGAAGCCTTAGGGGCTGGGCACTGTGAGCTTCTTTCTAACTGCAGGGGTGAAGGATGCCTTTTTTTCCAGGTGGTCACTCTCCACTAAAATTAACAATATGTCTATAAATAGAGGCAGGGAACTGAAATAACGCAAGCAAAGAAAAGAAAATCCCTCTGTATTTTTTTTTCTTCTGCCTTTCTCCTTTTTACTGTTTTGATACCATGAGAGATGTTAGTAATAAACATCCCAGCAGGTCTGCATTTTGTTCCCTGCTTCACCATGAAGGGGTGTATGGTTTGGCAAGTCACTTTCTGCAATGCAGTTTGATATCTGAAGACTCTTTTCAGAGCTCTTTTAGGTGCTCCTCGGAACCTCAGTAGACGTTGGTCAGCACTTTTAGGCATTCATTGCCTTTAAATATCTCATTCTTCTACCTCAGTTTTCACTCTGGAAAGTGAAAGTTGCACTTCAATGCCTCACAGAAACGTTAGACAATAAAAAGTGTAAAGCACTTCAGTTGCTATAGCAGTAAAAGCTGTATGATGACCTCTGAGATAAATTTTAGTTGCTCTCATTGGAGATTCATCTCAGGTAGACAAGTATGTTTAATTTGTAATACTGAAAGAGTAAAAATATAAAAGCAGTGGGGAAAACCTGAGATCTCATCTAAAGGATATAAAAAAAAGAGTATGTTTTCAGAGGAGAATGCAATTCTGAGTTCAGAGTGTACTCGTGTCCCTGTGTCACATTTAATCTTAGCTAGCAGGGACATTGAAGGCAAGCTCTAGCAACTGGAGCACATACACAGGATCCCTAGATGGTTTGTACTCTGGCTAACAGCTTGTGCTGTAGCCCATGCTGGCATCCTGTTAGCAGCTTTGTAAAGTAATTTCTGCGAGCTATGCTATCGTTGTACCTTTATTTCACAGTGCCCGTGCATCCAGGGCAGTAGCAGAACTCCTTCTCTCTGCAGATGGATTGCAACTTCAGTCTTAATGTTTGCAAATTGGGAAGAAGGGATAGACTGCAAATGCACCCCTCCATCTTGAAGATACCTGTCTCTGTAGGGGAGGTGTGAGATTGTTGAGAGGGGATGTCACCAGCCTGTGTGAGGTAGGTCCCAGCCGAATTCAGCTGACAGCGTTTTCTTTGTGTTCACACAGATCCCCCCAGGAAGCGTGTGGACTCCCCGATGCTGAACAGACATGGGAAGCGGCGGCCGGAGAGGAAGTCGATGGAGGTTCTCAGCGTGACAGACGGCGGCTCCCCGGTCCCTGCTCGCAGAGCTATTGAAATGGCACAACATGGACAGAGGTGGGTCTCTCCTTTACGCAGGAGTCTTGCCTCTCTGGGTTTGCTACCCCCCCTTTTATGTTATACCTACAAAGGAGCTGTGGAGCTTTTCTATTCACACCAACACTCATTACAACTTCCAAGTACATTTGCAAGGTGATCTGACAGCCAGCAGCACTTCCACACACAGGACCAGAAGTCCTGCCAGGGGCTTAAAGGTTCTGTTTGCTCAAAGCTATTGTGCAGGAAACCACCACATCCTCTGGGCAGGATTCACCTCACCTCTTCTTAATTGTAGGCATTCAGTCTAGGCTTATGATACAGGCTGTCACTCTAGGCAGTGGGGACAGATGAGGGCTCTGAAAGGTCTCAGATACATATGTTCCTCTGTTCCAACAATCTCAGTGGGATAAATTGCCCTCAGGTTCTTCTTCTCTGTCTCCATAGCCCACAACAGGAATCTAGATGACTCTCTTGGATTCGGTTCCCAACTTTTGGGCACCCAAAGTTAAATGAGATGAAGCGCACCCTCCACGTATCAGAACAGTTTGAATCTGGAAAGCCCTGTTCAGGCATCTGTAGATTCCTCTAAAATGTGCTGTCAGAGCCAGCGTGCATCTGACCCACATAAATTAGCACATGCCTGTAAAGTGATGGCATCTGTATAATTTTGCCCCTTTTCTATCAAAGAAAGTGTCGATCTTGTGGAGAAACAGCAGAGGAAAATGGTGTCTCCTCAAGGCAGGTTCCGGGAGAGTGAGCGAGCTGTGGAAATTCACTTATGTGAACCATGGAAGTTGTTTCCTCAGTCTCTGACTAGCCTAGGGGAGGCATGTGCATTTGGATTCACACTTGCATAAATCAATTAATATAAAAGAACACTTCCCATACATGTGTGCTGATGATGCTGTAACTTTTGTTTCAGCTTTATGACACGATTTTTTTGTTCAGCCATTAAGATCTGCTCAAAAAGAGCCTGCTGTGCCCAGAAACTCCCTTTGATGACTGAGAACTGGGTGAAGAACGTGAAATAATTTCAGATCCAGAGGCCCCTAGAATTACTGGAAAGTTTTGCTGGCAACTGTTACAGTTCTGACTACAGTGAGGAAAAAGTGGTGGTTTCCAGAATCTGCTAGGACTTATTTCAGACTGGCTATGTGGCCTTGAGATACACTGCCATAAAGATTTTTCATCGTAGTGTAGGTTGGAAACCTGTCTTGAATATGTGGTTTGCTTTGATGAGAGGTCTGGGCAGAGGAAGTGTTCAGGACAGGGTATGCTCAGTGTTCCTCATGGGCCTCAAACACTGACACAACACTGACAAAACAGTTGCTCACACCTTACTCAGCTTGAAGTGTTTAATCTGGTACCTGGTAGATGCGTGGGCCATGAAGCTCCCCGAGCCAGAGTGAGGTGAATCACTTTCCCCCACCCCAAGTCTGCCTGTGAGTCCCACCACTCTGCAGCTGTTTACAGTAAGTGTCCAACTGGGTGGAACAAATAGGAGGTGTTAGATGGATCACAAAGTTTTCTGAAAGCTGAAACCTTCTCTTCCAGCTTTCAGCTTTGGCTTTGGATTCAAAAGTCTGAAGAGGCAAAGCTGTTTGTTGCTATCCAAAATATTTCTTTGGCTTTTAAATGTCTCACTCAATTCTGCATGTGAGGAAACAACTGACATCTAAAGATCTGAGATGAGTTCAGAGCAGAGACATATCCAGGCTACACAGCAGAAAAGAAGGGCTTTGGTTTAAGGAGGAATTGAAACCTGCCAGGCACCCAAGAGTTACAGGGCAATGCATACCACAGCTCAGGGCTGGACATAAAGGTGTGATTAAGGGTGGAGAAAGGGATGTAATAGCACCATGACTGATGATGATGGGCTTGGTAGCGCTTGTTTTGGAAGGGGTTAAAGGCAAGATGTTATTTTACTCTATGTGTGAGCTTCCATAATTCATCCCATCCACATCCACAGATGACAACAGCACATTTTCTGTTGCTGGCAGCACAGTTGTTTATAACGTGAACTGGCTTCATTAACGGACACCACTGCATGGGGATTGTCTGGGGACGATGCATTGCTGATGGGCCACCATCTGTCAGAACAGTCAGGAACAAAATGACAAGCACCTTCCACCAAGAGTGGGGGATTTTCAGTGGCTGGTTCCACGAAATGACCCACTGACAGTGGATTTTACAGCAGTAGGGGCTTAGATCCCAGGGGTGGGTGTTTTCTTAAGAATGACATTTTTTGGTCTCAACAGATAACTATTAGGAAGACAGGGAGGTGGACCATGGAAAGTGGTCTCCTGTTTAGACAGAGATGACTTTGGTAAACATCTGGGGACACAGAGCCATTGCTTCTTTCTTGAGCTGGAGGAGATACTGTTCTAACCAGCGGGCAGAACACACCCACGTGTCTTGTGATTAAGTCCTATTGTCCTCTTTCCCAGTGGTAAACAGATGTTTGCTTGCATACAGGGAATTTATGTTACAACCTCTGGTTTATGTGTCTGTGTGATGAACTGTACCTTTGGTAACCATGCGGGGACTCTACAAGTGTCTGTCTTGGCTTGTTCAAGGCCGTATCTTTCCACTGAGATTGGAAACTTGGCAGCCTTCAACCCTACAGGCTGTGCAAGTAGTAAGTGCAAAACACAGTCCTTCAGTGGCTTAGTTTTGGATAATGGAGATGGGGAACTCGGCACAAAGGCTGCTTGTTGAGCTTACAGACTCCTTGAAATGCTTGTGCTGACCTCTCCAAGTGTTCTCCATTGGGTCTTTGTATATGGCCAGTTAGTATGCACAAACACCAGCCACCCTTAAAGTGACGACAAAGTTTTAATTCTTGGTTTTCCCTGCTAGTTGCCAACTAAACAGGCTCGTTATTACATCTTAATTGCTTCTGCTGTTGTGGTATCCACATCTCAGACTATCTGGTATTTCACTGAAATGTCAAAAGAAAAGAGGTAGGTTCTGAGCTTAGTTTAACACCAGATAATTTGCCCCTTGTGCCAAAATCACACAGACTACGCAGAATTCCATGGGAGCTAGAATCCCTTGGGGATATGCCAGAAATTTTCAGCAGCTCTGCTTTGAGAGTCCAAAAACTGTTCAAAAATGGGCTTCATTAACTATTCATTTTCTTCAGGTTCTGGAAGTGGATAGCTTGCATGAAAGATCAGCTAACATTAGGAAGCAGTGTTCTGTGAAACAGTGAGGCATATTACCCATGAAACATATTACAGAAAGCTGCCCCTTTAGCAAAGAGCAGGGAATTGTGCTTCGGAGTTTCAGGGATTCAGACCCAGGATGATAAAGAAGAGCATTTCTGTATACACTGAGTACAGGGAGGAGAGTTGGGAGTCAGTGGTAATGGACCCTGCAAATTAGAATACAAAATGGATTACTGTGCCTCTAAGAGGCAATATGGTCTAGTTTTAACCTTTTCCCAGCTTGTGCTTAGTGTTGAGGTCTTCAAGAAAAGTCTGAGTAATGAGCTCTTTGCCATTTGTGCCTTCAGGCATGTTCTATTTTCCCTGGACAATGTAACGAAGTAGATGGTAACTGGGTTTGCAGTTGGATAAAGGAGAACAGGGTTTAGAAGTCTGTGGGGGGGAAGTAATCTTAGACCTCAGCAGTCGGGGGAGATAATGAACTTCAGTTCACTGTGTAGGCTTGAGCTATAGTTGGAAAGTAAAAGAAAGGTTTTTCAGAGCTTTGCTTAAAAGGGGAGGATGGGTTGGGGGAGCTGGGTGTCCAGCATTGCTTCAGGTGACTCTCTTTTATAAATGTCCACACTAGTAACTCTGTTTTCTCGCTTTGTTCCTGCCATAGTAAAACAATGTTCAGTAAAAGCCTGGATATCTCTGAAGCCAATCCCAAATTCAACAAAGAAGAAAGGTATAAACACTGACAATATGTTCCTCTCCTCTACCTCACTGCTGAGACCTTAAAGATGCAGTACTTACCTTCTCCGTGTGGGGACACAGCTCTTCTCTCTGTAGAGACAAACCAAGAGGGTGGGATATTTACAGCCCCACACTACCTAGATTTTTGTACAGCACCATTCATTTGAGGCTATCCCCATTGCAGCCTGTGACTGTACCAACCTTTTCCCCACTAAAATTTCATCCTACTGCTACTTCTGGTTCAGTTCTGCCATGAGTGAGGTTGCTGAAGGTAGATGTATTTGCTAAGAGTGCTTTGGGAAGGACTGGAATATAAAATACTAGGAAAGATCAGGGTGCTCCACTCACAGCACTAGAAACAGCAGCACAACTGAGTCAGTGACAACAGTGGTAGGAAACTGTAAATCCTGTCTGACAGAGCAAAATATGAGATTCTTGTAGGTAAGAGACAAACTCCTTAAGACTACCCAGGCCCCACCAGAGAACACAAGAGGAAAGGATGATCAGGGATGATAGAGTTTTTGGAATGTTGTTCCAATCTAGCAGTTTGAGTGGCAGATGGTGAAGAATAACAGAAAGGGTGACTCCAACTCTGAATAGAGGCACAATGAAAGACCTGCAGGCCACCAGATTTAGGGAGTTTTAAGTGGAGTCATGTGGGTCCATGAACAACATCAACAAAAAGTTTAGACTTTTGGAAACGTTTTTAGTGGATATGTTCCTAAAATTTGGGTCTCAGAGGAAGAGAATTTTTCTCTGACGTTCTCTGGCATCCCAATGGATAATTCTTCATCAAAATGTAATCCTTATACATTTGGGACAAACACTTAACTTACCCAAAGCTTAGGAGTGTTCCATATGATTCAAAAACGGGGAAGCAGTGGACTCCTTAAAGGAACCTATGGACTTGGCAGACCATTCTTCTTTCCATTTCCCCTTTAACAGAAACTTTTTTGTTTTAAGATAAATGTGGCCTTTAATCCTTAGGAGACTTGTAGGACGTGTGAGGGATAGCCCCTGTTTTGGCCTTTTCCAGGCTGAGGCAGTCCTTTGTGGGCAGTGTGTCAAGTCTTCAGCCTGCCACAGTGAACAACGTCGTGCATCAGCAGGAGAGTTTGTGCCTCACCCTCTTTAAGATGCCGAGATAGGAACAAGCATTGGACCCGAACTGTTAGAAACCTCTAAGCTTCAGAGCCATGAAGAAGGAGTGGGTTACACAGTCTTCAGTGGCTGGGCTTTCCTGGACTGTTACCATAGACATGGAAATTCCTGTTCCTTTCTGATTCCCCCTATTCAGAAGTTCTGTTCTTGAACGTGTGACACTTCTTGCATTAAAAGTTAGACTGAAACTGCTCTGAAGATGAGCTTTTCCACAATCATTAAAAGTCAGGTCCAGTAAGATAAGTGCAGAAATATTATCTGTGACAGGAGAAGAGGCTTTCAGCAGATGTTCCCAGCACCATTTGTTGTCCCTCTGTCCTTCTCTAGCAGCTGCTCCAGCTGCGTTAGGAGCAGAGGAAATGACCCTTCAGTAACGGCTGGGGGAATTTCTTAAATACACATGGGCATTTCATCTTCCCTCTCAAAGGTGACACTTTTCAGAGTACAGGAGGAGGTTAGAGCACCGCCTGAGATCACCCAGGGTCCTTCTCATTGAAGGTCCAGGCTGATATTTGGATGGATCACATTCACTGTGGTCTTATCTCCCTCCCACTTCTAAGAGTCAGGATGAAGGACCTCAGTGGTAGAAAGTGAGAGGACCTGGATTCTGGATCTGCCACATGAAAGGAAGGAGTAGGCAGCAAAGAGAACCCCAGCAAAATGGGGACAGCTAATCATGGTTGCCATTAAATTTTTGGCCAGTGTTTAATTATCCAACTTTATGATTTCTTTTTTAAAGGAATACTGCATCTTTAAGGGTCCCTTCCCTCTAGATGCACATGGTTGTCTTAGTAGCTGAGGCCACTGTCCCTTTCCTTTTCTTTTTCTTTCTTTCTGACTTTCACCCCCTCTTTCAGTGCTTCTCTTCTTCTGTATCTGGGTTGCTGCAGCTCCGTAGTTCACTTGCTTCAGTATTGTAGGAAATGCACTTGTCTGCGCTTCTGGGTCTATTGTGTCCTGGGATTGTTCATTTTTTTTTTTTAAACCTCATTTCCCTCTTCCTTTTTTCCCTGTTGTCAATTTGCTTTCCATTCTCTTTGTTAACCTCTTCAGTGCCTTCCCTGTTGGGAAATGACTTGAAAGAAAAATTAATCAACCTTCTTGCACCCATTCTATTTACATTTTAATATTCTGCATGTGTGAATATGGGTGTATTTTCTGTATAAATATACACACACACACACGTTCCAATATACAGTGGGTGTCAATTTGCTCTTCTCAGTTACATCACTGTAGATAGATTGGTACGGGTACGATTGAGGACAGCGTTTGTCCCTAAATATATACATATATATGGATTTCTATAAATATGAATTAGATACTGCCCAAATTTGCACTCCAGGCTGAAACACAAATGGAGTGTCACTCAAACACATGAAAAAGAACTTATGTAATGCTTCTTTCCACTTCTCTATCAACACGTAGCACAACAGCTTTTTCTTTCTATCCTATGTTTTAATTTTAACTTTCCTTAAGATGCTGCCTTGCATTGCACAGCCCAGCATTTGCAATGTTGATGTAAGCGGAAGCATGGCTAGTTGCACTGAGCAATAAACTGTGAAATCTACTGGGCATATATTAAATTTGGCATTTCTGTTGGTGACTGTCTCATGGAGAATGGATTTTCCTCGCCCAGCCAGAAGTAGCTCTGGCAGCTTGGGAGCCTGTTATTGAAAATTGAGAGGATGAGAGAGAGAGGAAGAGACAGAGAGGGGAAAAAAGTGGTGCACCCGACTTGAAAATAATTTGGCTTAATAACACACCAGATTATTTTTTTTTTCCTAATTCATCTTTGTTAATATGAAAAGGTGGTGAGACCTTCCTGAGTTTGCTTACCTGCACCCCTAAAAACTTAGTAACCTGACTATTCTTTTCAATTTTGAATGCTTTGGTTAGTAGTGAAAAATTAAGACTACTGAAGTTTTTGATTGTGGCTAGGCTTCAAAGTCAACATGCCGGAGATTCATTCTGCTTTTAGAGCTGCTGTTTCAGACTCTTTTCAGCACAGCAATGATTTATTCTCCATTCACATTTGAAAGATTTCCTTTGCAACCTTTAAGACCCAGAGACTGAATTTATTTTAAATGAAAAATGAGATCCTGGAGCCCAAGATGGCATCCACAGAGATAAGTGCTGGGTTGCTGAGCTGGTATGTTCTAGCTGATCTGAATTCCTGACTATAAGACCATCATGACTAATAAGCCAGTATCAAAGCAGATTCACAGCTTGAGCTGCAATCTTGTACCCTGGGCTCCCAAGCTGGCTCAGAAATGCATGCTTTAATAACCAATATGTTTCACAGTTCATTCGTGGCAAAAAAAAAACCCAAAGTACTTCTTACCAGGCCAGCTTGGGGGACAGAGGGACACGACACTGAGCGAACTGGGGACAAAAAGAACAATTTCCTTGAAAACAGTCTAATATAACTGTGCCTTATGTAAGAGGCAGAAAAGAAATGCAGCATGAGGTATGAATTCCATTGCTCTGCTGACTGCTTCGATTGGGATTGGGCTGGGGATTTTTTTTTTATAGCCTTAGTATGTCCCTCTCCATATCCCCCAGTGCCCAAGTTGGATGTTGGATGTGTCTGCAATATTGTGAGCAGGACAAAAGTGATTTTCGTGTAAATGAAACTGTCCCCCTAGTGTTCCTGGTCTCGGAAGACATAGGCACCGGTGCCAATGATTATGACCGTTCAGTTCTCCGAACAGTATTTCACTCTGCTTTTCCTACTCTTCTCTCCACCTGCCTCCACATCCCTCTCTCTCTCTCTTTCTCTCTCTCTCCCTCTCTCCTCACTTTCCCTTTCCGAGGATGGCGAGTGCTGATCCGTTGGGGTAAGCTCTAGTTTTGGATTATTCCTGTTGCGGGACCTGTTGTATCTTGTAGAGAAGCTTTTCATTTGCACTTTCCCAATACAGTCCAGGCTGATACACTGCAGTGAACAAGGCTTTACAGCAGGGAGAGAGAGAGAGAGAGATGTGGGCAGGAGCATTTTGGGTGCTTTTGTGTGTGTTTGCGTGCTTTTACGTTGGAGTCACGCTCCATGTAATTTAATTTGGGGTTCTTTGTTTTTCTCGTTTGTCTCTATGTTTCAATATCTGTGGGCACAGAGAATTATCCTCAGACACTGTGCAGGTACCAGGACACCTTCTGCAAATGAAACCCCCTTCTCCATTTAATTTTGATCCTAATTTATCCTTTTTTCTTCTTTTTTTTTTTTTTTTTTTAAGACGAAGCTGAATCTCGTCCGTGTTATTAAAAAAATGCTGGGTATTCCCTCTCCTTTTTAGAATGTTTTCTTAAGAGGTGAACAGATGGCCCTAGAGACAGATATATCTTCAAAGCTCTTTATTTTCAATAAAGAGGATATAGGTACAACTAGGAATGCAGTCATGCTTCAAATTAACGTTCCATTTATAAATACTTCACAGAAGGAGAATATTTTATTAAGAAATTATTTAATAAAAACATTGCAGTAGATCACTACAGACTACAGCAAAAGCTTATTGAGGGGGTGCGTATTGAAAAAGCCAATTAGCACCAGTAACATTTACTTCTCATGTTTGCAGCATGCTTTACTATTTATTAATTCTTTCTAAACCATTTATAAATGGAGTTTTAGTATAATTGGCCAATTAAGGAAGGTTTAAGGTGCTGTTTAACGTCACCCTCTGTGTGCGCTGGAAGAAAGAAGAGGTGTGTTACCAACACCTGCTCTCCTTTCTCTGTACTCTTGGTAAGGTTTAATCTTAGGAGCAGTTACTACCACGAGTAGACCTTCTGACTTAAGCATAAGTATTCCCAGGAAGAGGTGTTAGCGTTAGTGTTATTTTCACTGTTGGGACTGTAAGACAGTGAAGCATCTCTTCATATTCCCTAGATCAGGGAGAAAGGAAGCACAGTTTGTATCTTTTGGACACCCAAGAGTGATGGTGATGAAATATTGTACCACACAATGGCTGACTGCTCACCTATTGCTTGTTAATTCAGATAATTTTCAGAGATCTCATCCCCTGAAATACAGTTTAGAATATTTCATTTGATTTGAGTGAGCAAGCCAAGAGTAGTATCAAATTCCACTCGATTTGTGCTTGAAGCGAGTAAGAGGTTGGCTGGATATTTTGGGAATGACTCTCAAAACTACACATGGAGTCAAACCAATTCAACCTTTCCAAGGCATTTCACCCAGGGACACAGGTGTGATGCTTCACTGCACACTGCATGCATGCTGCAGGCTCCCCTGCTTGGAAGCGTGGCTCCAGCTTGGCCAGCTAAGAGGCTGCATTCAGCATCCTGGTTAAACTCTGCTATGAAAGCAAGTTCTGCTGGGACTGCAACAAGGTACCAAACTCCCCTTTGATTGTAAGAAAAATTTCTATTAGATGACTATTCAAAGAAACAAATGCCAAATGTGACCCAGTGTTTAACGCTGGCTGTGAAGCCGTTGTGCTCTCCTGGTGTGAACTAGCAGATGGGCTGTTTGAAGCTCTTGGAGATGCACCTGAGTGAAGGGCTGTCTGGAGGTGCTCTCTAGCTGTCCTGCATGTGTGGTACAGTTACCAGGTCAGCTGTGCTTCTCCTTCATGTATTTCTCTCTGCCTACACCTGAGCAGGGTGAGGCTTCAGCCCTTCACCTCTTAACAGCTCTCAAGAAATTCTGCAGTTCTCTGAAACCAGCTGGAAACTGGATCCCAGCTCCTCAGTTTCACCAGTAAGAGACCACTGGTCTGACATGAATTGGGCCCTGCATGGCTTCCCCTTTGACAGCAGCTGGCTAAAATGAGTAAAAATTTACTTTAAAACAAAGGACCTTTTAACTTTGATGCTTTGAAATGTCAAATAGATTGAATAAGGTATAAAGCCATCTACAAACTACAGCCCACACATGCACATTTTGTTTCAGTCCCTGGCCTCTTTCTTTCATAGCTCAGATGTCTCCAGATCATTTTCAGCCTGTGAGATGGGAGGAGAAGCTGCCATGATCTCAGTGCCCACCTCAGGTTTAGAATGCCCCCTGCATCTTCCCCCTCCTAAGCCTTGGGTCTTAGCTCCCTTATGGGTTGGGGTTTTTTTTTTTTAAATTCCAGGCTTGACAAAACATCTATATCACTTTGGAAAGGACTAAAAAAAATCTCTTCTTGTGTTTCTAAATCCGGCAGTTGTGTTTGAGGGAACGCTTTTTATCTGTGCAGCTGCATTAATTTTTCTGCTTGTATTTTCAAGAACTTCCATTGATTTAGTGCTCGAGCATAGAGCCACGCAAAACACAGAGGAAAATGAGTCACACGCGACATTCGTAGCTTCCTAGATTGTTGCATTGAGTATTAAGTTATTGGAATAATTATAGATTTAAGACTTCCAATGACATTTAGTACATGTAGAGACTCTTAGGAGGTTACTCACTAATAGATATTTCCCCCTAAATAAACTTATTTCATAGCCACAGAGATCAGATGATGTCATATTTTTCTCCTCTTTCCACACAAGATCATCCAGGATCTGCCATACTCATGTGCTGCCTACAGGGCCTCACACTTTCATTTTTCTGGTGAGAGGGATACAAATTTCACTTCTCTCTGTTCTTTCATCACAGCATTTCAGCATAATGCAACATTTTCATTACTTTCTTTTGGCCCTGTCCCAGTTCTGTCCACCTGACTCTCAGATACAGGAGCAGTGCATGTGTTGGGTTTTTTTAAAAAAAAAAATGAATTCTGGCATTTCCCAGCTAAGATGATCTTGATGGGAGGGACAAATCTGTCATTTTTGCTTGTTAGTGTTTTTGTACTGGAGTCTTGAACCTGCCGCTGTACTGAGTTTTTCCAGCCAGCTTGGGAACAGTGTCTCATTTATAAAGGTAAATTAGAATCATAGAACCATAGAATGGTTTGGATTGGAAGGGACCTTAAAGCTCATCCAGTCCCAACCCCCCTGCCAGCAGCAGGGACACCTTCCACTAGACCAGGTTGCTCAAAGCCTCATCCAGCCTGGCCTTCAACACTTCCAGGGAGGGGGCATCTACAACTTCCTTGGGCAACCTGTCCCAAATTAAGGGAGATTAATTAAACTGAAGAAGATGCAGGGAATCTCTCATCAGTCTGGGTGTCATATCCCATACCAGCACTCTCTTGTAAAGGGGGAAAGTTTTGAAAATGTACAGTACTCTATTCACCCCACAATGAAAATTAACCCAGGATTCTTTAAACTCTTTCTGCTGCTCTTATATATGATTTCCAGTGTGGACAAACTAAAACTTGCTCTAGGGCTTACTTTACTTCCTAGGGATTTTGCATGTAAATCAGCAGCAGAAAGGAAGCTGGTTCGATAGCAATCATGTGGCTACTGAATGCATTTCCAGGAGGACTTCACACTAACTCTCTCTTCTGTCCCCTGCCTCAGGCTCCTAGGCTGGATGAAAGCACAGTACACAGCAACTCTTTTTCAAATGTTCCTTCCAATAAAGAACTGGGAGTTGGGAGGTGGGGCCTGCCAGGTTTTGCCCTCCACGCGTGTGATTGTTTTTGTAAAAAAAAAATAGGAGGCAATGGGGTTGGGGAGGGGAGAATTCAGGACTGTTGGAAACACCTGATTGCAAAGAGGAAATAGCAGATTGGAACTTTTAATCAAGTACCCTGGATTTCAGGTGAGTGTCAGAGAGGATTAGCCGACCACAACCATCATGAGTTGGTGGGAACAGCTCCTAGTGGGAGTTTAACTCCTGAGGAGGTGTTTAACTGCATCTCTGGGCACCTAAATGCCTTCTACATTTGTCTAAGATAATCTATAGGCTCCTCTTGTAATTTATGGCTTGGAAGAAGCTTTTCCTGATGACTCATACAAGGAAGATTTTAACTAAATGGACTTCCCATATGCACAACCCATCTGTGTTGCACTCAGCTACTTCAGTTAGAGAAGCACATAAAACAGCCTTTTAAAAGCAGAGCAGACGGTTCTCCCCTTAAAATTACTTTGCATAAACCTTTATGGGTGTCCTAGATCTTGATGGTACAAATTTAGGTTTCATCTAGTGCAAAAGAATGCCAAGACTGAGCTTCTAGTTTTTGACTGCTGTACTATGATGGGCTGACTGCAGCAGGGTACAAGGAAAAATGTGAGATGTTTCTGCATAGAATGAGCACCCCAGATTTTCATGGGGCAAATTTAGATTTAATCTGGTAAAAAATCATGTCGAGGCTGGGTTTCTGGGTTTCACCTACTTACTGTGATGGACTGCAAGTCTGTCAATGAGACTGCAATGAGAGATAAAGAAAACCATCAGTGAGTAGTTTCTGCAGAGGGTAGAACAGGACCTGCTATTGCGTTCAGTTGTAGCTTGCTCTTGCCTTGGAAATATTTCCTCTTTTGCAGTTCACATATTTTTTAATAATTCTACTACTCTACTCTTATTTAGTGATCTTTGTCTGTGAGACCATTTTAGAAACTGATTTTTTTTTTGTTTTCTTCTATAACAGTAGAAGAGAGTAAACTGAGACAGTTTATGGTTTAAATTTGTTTTATATTCTCTTATGTATGAGCTGACATTAACTATCTGACCTATATAAATTTTAGAGATATATATATATATGTGTACTCATAGACACATGGCCGTTACTGTAGGTGCAACATTGGTAGGTTTGCCATACTGATATGTTGCATGGTAGTTGTTGAACAACTAGGTTCTTAGCCAGTCCTCTCCTTTAAGGTGTTTCAGTCTTCAAGACAATTTTCTATTTGAAAAGCATAGAAGGCAGCTGTCTCTGGGGCTTACTCCTTTACAGACACAGGGAAGGGGGCACTTGGGCTGTTATCTTGGTGTTAGTAAAGTCATCAACAACAGCAGGAACCTGTTATCCATGGAGAAGACCTGGCTTGTTTAATGCAACAGTAGGAAATCTTACTGGAGAGCAGAGATGTGAAATCCATCAGTGAGAAGCTGGAAAGGGTTAAGCCAATGTGAGCTTTGATTTCGGTGGGAAGTCATCACATAGGAAACGATTGTGTGCCTGGGTGATGGAGACTTGGGGTTTTTTTCCTTAATATCTGGAAGAATCCCCTACCTTTGTACCTTGTACACATGGTGCTTTTCCATGTTGCTGATGACAGAGAGGGTCTCACTCTGTGCCCACCAGCACCGTGCAGAAGAGTTTTCAGCACCAACATGAATGTCTTGAGAGTCCTTTTTGAATTCAGCAGTTCAGCTTGCGCAGGTCAGATGTAGTAGCTTCCATGTGCTTGATGATGAAAAAGAAGATAGCAACTCCTTTAATGACAAGGGATTCTAGTATCGTCCCTGAGCAACAGCATTTCTTTCTTTTGAGGGTGGGACAACTGAAAAATGTGGCAGTAGTGAAAGGCAGGAGTCATGTGCTTCGCCAGTGACAGCCTCCCTCCTCCTCCTCACTTCATGCCTGTGCCTGTGGTGGCTGGTGTTCAGGGTTATTACTTGTCCAAGTTTTCTGAGGGCTGTTTTCCTTATTGTATCCATTCAGGTCTCGGTCAATCAGCGGAGCGTCGTCTGGGCTCTCCACCAGTCCTCTCAGCAGTCCAAGGGTAAGTGGTGCTGCTTCAAGATCTGTTGGTCCAATTCACTCACACATGCTTGATGCTTTTCGACATCTGTTGCTGCAGAGCTGTGGCTCTTAGCTGGGATGTTTTGTTTTTTCCTTGGCAGCTTGTAAATTTTCATGGGTGGTGAGGGAAATATTATTTACAAATGCAAGCAGAGAATTTCTCCTACGTGTTCCCTGCACAGCTAGCAGGGATCTCACTGTGGTCCTACCCTTTTTCAGTCTCCTCAGCACATAGAGTAACATCGCTGTGACTAACCACGGCCACATCCAGCTGAGGTCTGTGTATGGAGTGGTTTCAGACCAAATACCAGGAACCATTTCACAGATACCTTCAACCAGGTCACGGTAGAGCACCAAGCCATGCTGTTACAACTGGCTTGATTCTCTTTGCCTTGGAATAGCTTGTCTTAGAAGGTCAAAGAAAAGAAATTGTACAAATTTGAGGGCTAGCACATTTAAAAGGAAAGTAAGAAGTTGACTAATTAAGATGGGAAAAGAACACTCAAACCCCTATAAATAAGGTACATTCACATGCCCTTATTCACCATATAGTCAACTGAATACCCATATTCAACTGGTACCCATACTCAACTGGTACCCATCTCAGTACCAAACATACTTGTTGGTACATCTGTTGCAGAGTTACTACAGTTTCTACAGTTACTACAGTTTTCTTCCCTCTCCTTGGTAACTTCTTTAAGGGTAAGAGTGAGTATTCTTAGTGTCCAACAAGGTCAGCTTAGTCACTTCAAGAACAAAATCCAGACCTCATCAGGAAGCCTGTAGAGCTGTGGCAACCCACGTTACCTCATTGTCTGGCCCAGAGGCTTTGGAGAGTTTTTACATACTTTTCATGACTTCATGAGAAGAAGCCATCCTCCATTGGAAATGGATGTGTTCCATGTGTTAGTGTATGGACACATCTATGCATCTGCTCTTCGCCATATGAAGACAACATCAATATTACAAGTATTTAAGATTATAACTCCCCAGTAACGTTGTGTGTAATTCCTGTCCATAAAAACACAGCGTCTGAAACAAAGTCTGGGTTCCTATCAATTGTTACCCTGCTTTGCAACTGCCATAAATGTGTTTGTGGTCTCCTCTGTGTCTTTAACATGCCAGGAACCAGTGAAGATCCATTTCTTTGTTTCTGCTGGGGGTCCTGGATGTCAGTGGAACAAAGCAGAGGTTTGAGAACTCTGCTGCCACTGCAAAGGGCACTGAAAAAGAGCACGGAAAGAGTTTTGTGCACAAAATAAGCATAAAGTGCAGCAAACCTAAATCTTGATCTCATTAATTGATCTCTTGGGATCAATTTCTGACATCTCAGTAGGACTACATCAAAGAATAAGGATGACAAGATCTGTTCATAGTTGCAGTATCTCACCATTATTTCTTAATAGGCAGTTGATTAAGTAGTCTTCAAAAGGATTTAGCAACCAGATGGCATTTTCAGCAGATCATAACGATACTAAGGAAGGTTAAATTTGACGATTAAAAGGAAATGTTGGAATAAAAATAATTTTTCTTAAGTGTCCTTACCTCTTCTTCTAATAGCACCTTAGATTACTGAAAGAGAACGTACTTTAAAAAGCAAATGCACATTTTACTGTACGTGCTGCTTAGGTTCAGTTCTGTGAGGAACTGAATTCTACAGCAACTAAGAGTTTTTAAATCTCACAAGATGTTGTTAATGGGTGTTCCCCATTGCACCAGCTGAAATATAGACCTAATCTTGTTCTTTATTTCATTATTAAAAATCCAGTAATTAAGGGTGCCCCTTCAGATTCTGAATGGCTTAAGTGGGAATTGAATTTGACTTTATTTCTTTCAAATTTGTTTCTCAAACTGTCGTATGTACGAGGTACAAAAATTGCAAGGAAACATTTGCAATCAACAGTCTTTGACTTTTATCAGTTGTTTTCATTTGCAAATGGTTAATAGTCAGATGCTGATAGTGACTTCCATAAATGAACCACTTTCCTCATCTTTTCCCCTTCCTTTCTCATTGCTGATCAGAATTTACCAACATGGCAGACTTCAGTTTAACTTTACAATCCTAATAATAATACAGAAGTTTTGATGTAATGATTTTCTTTTAATTTCGGTGGCCTAAGTTCTTTAAAGTAATTACAAAACTTTGATGCAAACAATTTTAGGAATTAAGTCTTAAATACTAAAAAAATTCTGCATTTTTTAAAAATATGGCAACATTGTGGTAATCCATCAAACCCAGAAAGTGAACTCACTAGTGAGTGTGCTTACCTGGGACTGAGGCATGGTTACGTGTACATGGTATGTCTGGACAGTGCTTGATTACAACTTTTAGGTGTTAAGAATGGATAATAATAATAATAATAATAATAATAATAATGGTGATAAATAATTTATAATAGGTAATAATTTCTAGAAATCAGAGTCTGAGTGCAGACCAAAGCTAAAGATCTTGAGCAGTGATTTCTATTTTCACAGTTCTGCCAGCACTTGTAATCTAAGGTGTTAACAGCAATGTTTTGTAAGGAGATTTGTTTTGTTTTAAATGTGATTTTTAGCTTGCTAATATCCCTTTAAAAGGCTTCTATCCTCCCAAGTCCGTGTATTGCTGTTTGCTGTCAACATATGGTTTCCCAAAATGCCTCTAAACATGCATAAGTATTCTTGTTTGGGAGAGAAAAAAAAATAATCATAATTCCTTGTTGATAACTCAGCGATGGATTATGAACTTTAGTTGTCTTTTTCTTTTTAAACTTACAAAACAATGGCTCCTGCCACCCCCTCCATAGAATTGGGACTTAATGGCAAATATTGCTGGGACTTTATGACAGAAATTCCAATTATCAAACTGCCCCTCGATGCGATGAGGGATGTTGCGGGAGAAGCATAAAGTCTGCTGGGAAGTGTCATCTCTTCCCAGATAAACCAGTTTGCCAGGCCTCTTTGAAGTTTTTGCTGTCGCTGTTTACAACTCAAACACCAACCTGAGCTGCTCTTTTTTCTCATGGTGGTGTGTGCTCTGAAGCCTCCAAGTGAACGCTGAGCGGTGGAACCTTCCAGGCCAGGGGAGGGGAGCAGATCCCCACACGGCATCCCTCTCCCTCTCCCCTCTTTCTGCAAAGGGTGGTGGCAACTGGGATGTCCGTTAGCCAGAGTCAGGGGTCAAGAGGAAGGGAAGAGGTTCTGACTGGTGTGTGCAGTACCTGTGTGTATCACCTGCCGCTCCGTCTGTATCACACACCTGTTTGGAGTTCCATCTCTCTGCTGGGTTTGCATATGGGCACTTGGAGCTGAACGAGGTGGTCCCATTCTTGGCACATCTCAATTTGTCTGTGGCTTGAGTGGTTCTTCTTTCCCTTTCCTCACCTCCCTACAGCATCGTGCTTCTCTCACTGCAGGGCAATCAGAACAATCCCAGAGAGATGGCATTTCTCTCTTCTTTTTTTCTTGGTTACTTTCTTTCATTTTGGTTTTTTTTGGTTTTATTTTTTACTTTTCTTTTGGTTCACTTTTCTTTCTGTTGTTTTCTTTTGCTGACACATGGTTGGTTAATATGATGAAGCCTGTTATGACACTGTTGTTCTTGCTGCTGCCGCTGCTGCTGTTGTTGATTATGCTGTGTTCCCAGCTAACTGCATGTCTTTTTGTTTTTGTTTGTTTTTTTGTTTGTTTGTTCGTTTTTGTTTCTTTGCAAAATCTCCCACCCCCCTCCAACCCCCCACTACCCCTTCACCTCCCATCTCTTGTGTCTCCTTGTGACATGGTGCATCTTTGTGACTCGGATGGATTTTCCTTTCTCTGCTCGCCCGCTCTATGCGTATTTCACTGTTGTTGATGTGCATGGACACTCTGCGTCTGTCTCGTAGCCTATCAGAAAGTTCTTCATCCCCCCTCAGACCTCCGACCTCCCTTTCTCTCCCCGACCCCAAGTCTCCTTGGACCCTGATGCTTGTAGGAACGCCTCCAGGCCTGGACATGTACTCCAACCAAAGCCAACACTTCAGCCCAACCCAAAGACGCAGACTTTGCCATCCAAGAGCAAATTGGCTGAAAAACCACTCCAGTCTACTAAATCCAACCCACTCCCCACCAGCAATACCAGCGCCCCCTCCTCCCAGAACAGCCCTGTGCAGAACGCTCAGGGCCGCTCGCCCGCTGCCGGCTTTAACCCACAGCTGGCCGTTCCTAAAGTGCAGACCAACCCTATGTCTCCTGTTAGATTGCTCCCTTCTAGTACTGACCCAAGCACCAAATCTATCCCCATCATACAGGTCACCCCTCACCCCTCTCCAAGGGGAAGTCCCCTCCCTACCCCCAAGGGGACACCTGTCCATACGCCAAAGGAGAGCCCAGCAGGCACACCCAACCCAACACCACCATCCAGCCCCAGCATTGGAGGAATGCCATGGAGGACACGGCTCAACTCTATCAAGAATAGTTTCCTGGGGTCTCCTCGCTTCCATCGCCGGAAATTGCAAGGTGAGTACTCACTTGAATGTCCAGGGGGGTTCTGATTTGGGCAGGCATTTGATACCACTGTGTGGCTCTGCAAATTCCATGTTCTGAGGACTGAATATTGGTGCTGAAAATGAGAGTGGTGGCATCAGCCAGCCCTGACCCAAAGCACATGCGAGCAGGCTCCTTCGTGCCACTGCACCTGCTCCAGCAGCATCTCCTGAGCCCTCTTCACACTCGAACCATAACAGCTCTTACTGTCCCTATTGTGGCACTTGGAACACAAGAAAATTTTCTCTTCAGCTTCTCGGCTTGTTTTGTCAGCAAACCCAGAGCTCTGCCATTCCCCCTGTGGCTCTGCTCCCCTGCCTCTCTGTAGCCACAGGCTGAGCTTTCTGCTGAAAAAGAGAGCCAGTGGCAACAGGCTGAAATTGTCCTTCTGAAGCACAGCTTGTTTGATCTTGGCGAATGTTTTTTTTACCTCCTTTTGTAATTGGTGTAAAAATCTCCTTAATACAGGCAGTGGTTTCATATTTGCTGGCCTGTTTCAGTTTTCAGAGCCTCTAGAGTGTTGAGATGTGCAAAATTTTCTTCTTCAAGCTCCAGGTGGCTTTTTGCATTCAGGCAGAGGGCACCCAAAGTCACATACATGCATTTTCCTCGGATGTCAGCAGCAGTTATCCCAACAGCCTGTGGTTTTACAGGGTACTGGGGTGTGATCCCATGGGAAAGGAGGATTACAGCCATGGAAGAGTGAGATTTTGAACTGTGGTGGGCAAGGACATTGTGTCTGAGATGGTCAGAGAACTGTGGGGAACTGCAGCAGTGACTGAGAGCATCCAGCTGGGCTTTGAAGCAATTGTAGAGCAATCAGACTGGCACGGTGTTTGGGTCTGAACTAGAAACGCCAGCGCGAGATTACATAATGATTTAAGGAAGGGCAGGGTGAGCCTTGAAATGCAGTGTTTGATTAGATACAGTGACCCAGAGACATCTGACCAGTGTTCAAATGTCAGAACTAGCCTGCACAGTCAGTGGGCAAATGCGAGAGGTTTTAATGCCGGATTTGTTTCATTGGTGTACAAGCAGAAAATGGAAGGTGTACTGAATCATCAATTTCTTTTCTCCCTCCCTCTCTTTGGCTGTGTGTGCACGGGCAGTACCTACACCAGAGGAGATGTCTAATTTAACCCCGGAATCATCCCCAGAGTAAGTAATTTGCCAGTACACTACTTTTTTTCCACCACATACCAATGTCATTTTCTTGCCTCAGTGCCATAGGGTGGGTTATTCTCATTCTGGATCGGGGTCTGACTGTAACCTGTTATCCTGTGAGTGGGATGGATGTGGAATGGTTCTTCTGCTAAGGACCATGGATAAAATCTGTACCTCAGTAATGGCAGAGGGGTCAGCAGGTGATGAAGCAGTTTCCCAGTAAGCACCTCATTTTAGAATCATAGAATCACAGATGGTTTGGGTTGAAGGGACCTTACAAGGCCTCCAGTGCAACCCCCTGCAGTGAGCAGGGACATCTTCAACCAGACCAGGTTGCTGAGAGCCCCGTCCAACCTGACCTTGAATGTTTCCATGGATGGGGCTTCTACCACCTCTCTGGGCAACCTGGGCCAGTGTTTCACCACCCTCATTGTAAAAAATTTCTTCCTTACATCTAGTCTGAATCTCCCCTCTTTGAGTTTAAAACCATCACCCCTTGTCCTAGTGCAACAGGCCCTGCTAAAAAGTCCTTCCCCATCTTTCTTATAGGCCCCTTTCAGTATTGAAAGGCCGCTAGAAGGTCTACCCAACGCCTTCCCTTTGAGCGGCCCCAACTCTCTCAGCCTGTCCTCACAGCAGAGCTGCTCCAGCCCTCTGATCACTTTTATGGCCTCCTCTGTGCCCACTCCAAGAGGTCCTGTCTTTCCTCTGCATCCCAGAACTGGAGGCAGCACTGCAGGTGGGGTCTCACCAGAGCAGAGCAGAAGGGCAGAATCCCCTCCCTTGACCTGCTGGTCATGCTTCTGATGCAGCCCAGGAGATGGTTATTGGCCTCCTGGGCTGCAAGTGCACATTGCCAGCTCATGTCCACCAGCACCCCCAAGTCCTCCTCTGCAGGGCTTCATCCCCCAGCCTGTACTGATACTGGGGATTGCCCTGACCCAGCTGCAGGACCTTGCACTTGGCCTTGTTGAACCTCATGAGGTTCAGGTGGGCCCACTGCTCACTTTTCTCAAGGCTTGCTGAATTTAATAGGTTTGTACCATGTTCCTTCTCCCTTCTTTCATTTGATTGCCAAGCAGATCGCTCTTGGGAAGCGGAGAGGATGATCACTGGCTTATCCTGGTGCTAACTGTGCACTAAAAAGTCTTCCTCTTAGTACAGGAGAGTTTGCACCCTCAGGATAACATCCAGAAGCCTCTGCTAAGATAATTCAGAGGAATCTTTGGCTGCGATAGTAAACAGTGTTAATTCTGGGCAGCAGCACTGGAACATGCAGAAGCTGTTTCATATTCACCAGCCTCGTTCCTAAAAGTCAGCGTAGATTTCAGCTATTTCACTGCAGAAATGTGCGTCACTGCGTGGCAGGTTTGGAAGCCCCTGCCAGAGAGTGAGTGCTGCTCCCAACACTTCCTAATATATGCAACAGATGCCAAATTATTCCTTTTTATTTTCACAGCTTGTGTTTTTGCACCCAGTGCCCATAGACTTACCCTGCCAACCAAGGCAATTTGGTTTTTTGTCAAGATACTCGTGTGAAATATTCATGAGTCGTAGGTGGAAATTTTGGACCCCAAGTTTTGTAATTGGTGACAGTGGTATTGCCTTTACAACTTTCCCCAGACCTGGCAGTTATCTGGTACAAGATGGGTGCTCTTTATCTCATGCTGCAGAATGGAAAGGGATAAAGACTTCAGGAGAGGGACAAGTAGGGACTTGTAAAGGTTAGTAAAAAAATCCAGGAAAAAAAATGGAATAAATTGTGTTTTCAACACTTTGGAGCATTTACTAATAGAGAAGCACAAGAGAATTTCATCAAATGAACACATCCTTATCAAATAAATATATGATACTCTCATCTCAAATGTTTTTAAGGTTGTTAAAGCAGAAAACCATCAGAATTAAATTTCTCCTCTCCCTTTCTCTTCATGCATGTATGTTGGTGGAAGTTTTTTTCTGTTAATTTATTGCCTTCTCTGCTTCCCACTCACTCTTTAAAAGCTGGTATAGAGAAGTAGTGCCTGTCATTTGAGGCAGTTTGGATGCAAGTCAAAGCCTAAGGCCCTTTTTTTCTTTTTCTATATAATTGCCAAATTAATGAGTTCAATTGGGCTGCACCCTGCAGTAAACATAATAAAAGTAATAAAAAATAATGAACTGGATTCTATTTTAATGGTAGATGTCTTTGTTGCTCAGTGCCCACTTCCACGTCTTTTTTTTTTTTTTCCTAGTATTTTCTTCCTTTCTGTAAGAAATAAGATACCTTTATCAAGAGCTGCATTGACCCCAAGGGTTGAGTGATAAAAATACATGTCCTTGCTCTGGTTCAGCATTCTTTAATGACTGCCATTCATTTAACAAACCTGATGATTAGGTAATACACTTTGACATGTCTGGGTAATGCTATTCTTTCTCAATATGAACAAGTCCTAGAAAATGTGTTAAGGATGACATTTCAAGAGACATAGCTCCAGCTGCTTTAAACCAGCTCTAAACCTCTGTTTGCTTGAGTAGAAATGCTGTTATTTCTGCCAAGCAGGTAAACCTCTGGAGGTTACAGAGCCACACGCTCAGGGACAGGCAGGGAAGCCAGTGAGGCTCTCCAGAAGGCAATGCAGTCAGACACTCCCCAAGTAGG